TCTCAAATGCTTTGCAATTTTCGACTTCACAAAAATGTTTAATTATTTAAAGTACTTTTACATTATCAGACTTCAGAATGAAAATTAAACAACGTCGTTACGGAGGTGAAAATATGTTAACTAGGGAGATATATCGACCAGGTATAATAACGCAGTATCTTTAGATTCGTATCCAAAATACCTCGTTTTATTAACACTACCTTATTTGCTTTTTATTTAGTTTCCTCTTTAAAACATATGCAATGTGTTCTATACGTTAAGTTTTTATAACAAGAGATTTTGTGAATAATATTACATTAACGTCATCACGTAAAAATGTATTATAAGTCCGTTTACCTGATCGATACAGAGGGTTCACAACAGGTGCGACCGGTCGACAGGGGAGGCTTATTCTTCCTAGGCACCTGATCCCACCTCTAGTGTTTCCAGGGATCCGTGCTTTACCCCTGTTCAGGAGTTTGATGTTCATTAACTTTACCTTTTTTATTTCTACTTGTACGAACTCATAAAAAATCAAGTAACACCGAAACATTTAATGATCTAATAGTAGTAAAAAGGGGAAAATTAAAAAGAAACTATAGAGACAAGCACTTAAACAGAGACCATGAATTTCACAATTTTAGGAAAGGCACTCTTGCTCATCATAACAGTCTTAGTTTGTCTCCTAAATACCCAGAACAGAGGTTCCGGTGTTAGGGTCATTTTTTTAAATTTTAGATGGAATAGTATTTATTAAAAAGGACATTTATTTAAGATAAGATAGTATTTACTAACATCACACACTTATTAGTGTCTCTGAAAAAAAGGAAAACGTGCCGTACACTTAGGTGCATTTAATATGTGGTTATGCCATGAGATGACATGTACTTACTGAACTCTGTAATGTGACTCTTCTGGGCGAATAAAAATCCACATTGTTTATCTTACAAAAACGAATTGAATCAATTGATATCCGATATTTTGAATAAATCCAATTAATATCGTAAAATGTTTCGGTTTTCTTGAATCAATTAGAATACATACTAAAACGTTTGTCAGATATATTGGATGGATATTCCTAATTTGTTCAATGGATGAGAATTGACATTGTAAGTTTAGCAGATCTGTCGAGATGAATAACAATTCTTGTTGTAAATTTTGCATTTGAAGTCATCTTCTTTATGCAAGAATTACAATAGTAGAATTTCCTCTTTTTCCCATCATTTAACTTTAGTTAGTTAGTTAGTTAGTGGTTTGTGGGGAAAGAACAAAACGTATCAATTATATAAATATATAATTTATAGACTGTTACTTTTAAGAACACCCCTCCTCCTCCCCCCCCCCCCCCCCCACCAAGGCATGACATTTTTGCAGACTACCTGTGTAATTTCTTTCTTATCTCATTATGATAAAATAGGACCAATGGTTCAATTTTTTACTTAAAATCATCCAGACTGAGTGGGTTTTTTTTTATAATAAGTAATATTCGGAGTTTGAGAAATTGAACACAAAAATATGATTTTAAAGAACAAAGTGAAAAAAATTTATTAAATGCTGAACTATCCATAAACAAGACTGAAAAAAACATGAGTATGGGAAATTTTCACTTTTAAACATCTTTCAATTTCTTATTTCACGAAGAATAACTCTGTTTTCCTCAACTTGAAAAAAAAGTTGACCAGATTTTGCATGCTCCAGAACATACTAAAATCTGTTTTATGGAACTATTTTCGAATTAAAATCCATGATTTATTTTCATGTTCTGAATTAACTATTCTGTCAATAGGGGAAAACTTGAAAATTCTTCCAGAACTGCAAGGTCCTAGTCACATTCATATGTAGAATTCCTGCGTTGTGCATTCTGTTTGTCTGTTAACCATAACATTTGAATAATTGGTGCTAGTGCTTTCATATTTCACATGTGTATTTCTTGTGACAAGACCTTTCTTTGGTAACCAACATATTTGACCCATTGACCTTGACCTCGGAGTTTGACCTCTTTTTGCAAAAAAAAAAAAAAATCCCAAACTTTAATCTTGTCCATAATTGTTGAACGGTTGACGCTAGGGTTTTTATATATTACATGTGTATTTGGTGGACTTTTCTTTGGTACCAACATTTTGTTACCTTTCGCCCTTGACCTTTGAGTTTGAACTACTTTTGAAAACATGTACGTTGGCCATAACTTTTGAACGGTCGTTGCTAGAACTTTCATATACCACACGTGTATTTCTTTGGGCACTAATATTTTTGACCTTCTGACCTTAAATTTGAAAACACTTTAACCTTGCCTATAACTTTCGAAAGGTTGCTGCTAGGGCTTTCATATTTCACTTAAGGAGGTTGGATCCTGCCATCAAAAGTAATGGGAATTTTTTTTCAAGTATATTTTTAGAATCTACAGATATAGCTTAATTCAAAATCAAAACAAAAAATCGGGGTCAATGCGCTTCCTTTGGCGCCACAGAGCATTTAGTGTGACATTTTTGCACTGTAAATACGTCTTAAACATAAATCATTTTTGAAAGTTTTTCCTCCAATATTTTTTATTCAAATAAATTAGGAAACAAACACAGTCTTATTTCATCTTGAATAAGCACATTAAAATTTGTGACCAAAAAAAAAAAAAAAAAAAAAAAAAAAAAAAAAAAAAAAAACAAAACAAATTACTTCGCATGTTCATTTATTTGATCTTTTTGCACTCAAAAAATATAATTTTCTGGCATTAAAAATTTAACAAGCAATAAAATCATTTTGAAAGTAATGACATTTTACTGAATTTAAGAAGAATGGTTAAAATTATCTTACATATTCACAAAGGAGCACACGGCGGGTGTGACCGGTCGGCAGGGGATGCTCACTCCTCCATGGCACCTGATCCCACCTCTGATGTTTTGGAGGTCCGTGTTTGCTCTGCTCCTGTTTTGTAATGTTTTATGGACTTTTGAGCTTGAATACTGTTCGTTATCTCCATATAATTCATTCAGAAAAGAAAATTAAAATGTGATGTTAATTTTTTAGATATTATTAAAATAGTGCTAATTTTAAGATCAAATTAGGGCTATTTTTTTTAATGAATTTTCACAATATATTTGCCAGATTTGTCAAATATGATGATAGAATTCATAACAGTTTATTTAATATATAATTTAGGACCAGCATAAAACATTTAACGGCACAGAATAACTCTGTGTGCAGGCTGCATGGAAAAATAGGAATCTAAACTTAAGGACGTTCGATCCTGAGCTTTTGAGCAGATTTTGGTCTTGAGCTTTATTTCTAAAATTCTGCATTATTTTTAAGTTCTAACATTAAGTCTGGATTCTACAATGCAAATTATACTATATCCAATGAAAAAACAGCAATTAAATTCCATTCAAATAGGATTAAGCCAGGAACTATATTTTGTGGCGGAAGGTTTTTTAGAAGAAAATGATCATTTTTTCCCTTTTGAAATATATACAGTACTGTTAAGTTTAGATTCCTATTTTTCCATGCTGGTTGCACACAGAGCTATTTTGTGCATTGAAATGTTTAATGCTGGTTCTAAAATATTAATTAAATCAGTTTTTTGTGAATTCTATCATCATATTGTGACAAATATAGAAAATATATTCTGAAACTCCAGGAAAAAATTGAGCCAATTTTATCATAAAATTAACAGTTTTTTAGTAATATCTAAAAAATAACATCATAGACCTCCACTTTTGATTTTCTTTTCTGAATATATAAGATAGCTCTGATCAATCTACTTAAATTCAGCAAAACTTTAAGACTTTAAAATATTTTTCTTGCTTGTTAAATTTTTAATGCCCGAAAAATGACATTTTGTGAGTGCAGAAAGGTCAAATAATTGATTATACGAAGCAATCTGAAATTTTTTTTTTTGGTCACAATTTTAATGTGTCTTTTTAAGAGAGAATAATAGCATACTTTGTCCCATGATTTATTTGGATAAAAATATTGGAGGGAAAACGTCGAAGATGTTACTTTTGATTAAGACACAAATTCAGTGCAAAAAGGTCATTTTAAATGTACTGCAGCGCCAAAAGAAGCATATTGACCCCCATTTTTTGTTTTGATTTTTAATTAAGCTTTGTGTGTAGAAGCTAAAAATATACTTGATAAAAAAAGTTTAAGACTTTAAATATCAGGATCCAACGTCGTTAACATACTTTAAATACCTCAAAAGAGAAAAAATGATCATTTTCTTCTAAAAAAAACCCCTTCCGCCACAAAATATAGTTCCTCGGTTAATGCTTTTGGTATGGAATTTAATCATGGAGTTTTAACTGAATATAGTTTAATTGATATTATAGAATCCAAATTTATTGTAAGAACTAAAATATTAAGAAGAATTTTTGAAAAATAGGTACAAAAATCTACTCAAAACCTCAGGAGCGAACCTCGTTCAGCATTCCTTGTGACGAGATCTTTCCTTTGATACTATTATATTTTGACTTCATGATATTGACCTTAGATTATGAACTATTTTTTGAAAACTTTAACCTTGGTCATATTTTCTGAATAGTTCTTCCTATGGCTATTAAATTGAACATGTGTATTCATTTTGGTAAGACCTTTCTTTGGGTATCAACATTTTATAACTCTTGAATTTGGAGTTTTACCTACATTTGAAAAAAAAAAACTTTAACCTTGGCACTGAGTTGCCATACGGGGGCATCAGTGTTTCATAAACACTTCTTGTTATCTTTTTCGTTTGTTTTTGTTTTCGCTGAGAGGCGGCTTTTTGGTTTTTACACAGGAATTATCCTAATTGTTTACAGATACATGAAATATGGAGATAATGAACAGTATCATTGACCGATGGTACAAGAGAGTCTGTTTGCATGATAAAGATTAAGAAAGAAACCTTTAGAAATCCATTTTAAGCGAATCGACATTTTAAAAAGTGTAATATCACCTGTAAAATCTCTCTTTCTTGCCATCAGTTTACTTAATGCGCTGGTTTAGTCCTTTAAAAATATTCTGCAGTCTGAACTGCATGATTTCGTATACTCGGAAGATTTAAATAGGAGTTAGTGCTCAAATATGGCTTACTTGGACTTTCTTCGCAGTCTCTGGGCTATAAGAAAGTGGATTTTTATATTGTTGGCGTTCATATTACCTTGTGATCTTTTAACTACAAGAACACATGTGAGTAGTATTAAAAGTTTTTATTTATCCTCAATACAATGACTTCGGCTACTGAATTTCAATTGTCATTTATTCCATTTTCAGAACCGAACCCCAAAAAATTTAAAATGTAAAAAGATATATCCTTAATGAAAATATGCTTATAGACAGACTGAAAAATTCAGTATTAATGTATCTTTAGAACGTAATTTTGTTGCCTATTGCAATTTTTATGAAAGCTATTCACATGTAAAACTGACAATTTATTTAACTTCAAGATGCATCAAGGCCTTAAACAAAAAATGATATCTCTGTCCTAACATACAGAGTAACAAAATGGTTACAGTCATTTGTTTTTACATATCACATAAGTCTAAAGCATGAGTAATATTTGTGGAATTTCATTAAAGTTAACACCTCCAATACGAAAAGATATTGAATAATATCGTTGACAAAATAGACTGAGTAAATAAATAAACTGAAATATCACAATTCCAAAATATTAAGATGTGAATTTGTGTTTGAACATTCTGGAGTTCATTCCTATTTCTTTGTGCTAGAGGTAGATACAGCTGGGATGATTAACAATTAATTATCTGATATCATTATGTTATATAATGCTTTTATTGATATAAAAAAAAATCACATAAAATGTATCATACATCAAAGTATTTCATTTTTATCAAATATGAATGAGAAAACATTTTGTTAATGACGCAGTCGGCATACATTTGTGCTGTTACACTCCGATTCTCGTTTTTGCTCTTTGTAAACATTGTATACAATGCACTATACACCCAAATTATTGAGTGAGGTACGCGTAATGAACCTGATTCAATTTCTTGCTTTGTATGCACTGAAGCAAGGCACAGGTAACACTTTAAAATATAGCTTCAAATTGTCAAGGTTCTCAGTAATAATAGTTTTTTGGAATATTTTTTTCAAAGTCGAATCAAGGGGAAATGAAAAGATTCGTTTCATTTTAATGAGAGGATAATCTCTTAATTTTTTGCAAGAATATTAACTCGGAAAGAAATTTGATAGAAATGGAAGTACATACTATTAGACAGTCTGCATGTAGGGAGACATGATTATGAAATATTTCTGTTGTTTAGTTATATAGCTTATTCAACAATTCGAATGGGTGATATCACGAATTCGACTAAATTGGTGACATCACAAATACGGCTTTTAATGAGTGATGTCACCTTTTCGAATTAGTATTATCACTTATTGATTTTGAAAGGTGATATGAATAATTGGTTTGATGGTATCACTTACTAAAAATGAGTAAGTGATAATTATGGACTTCAGTGTAGGTCTATATGTGGTTATAAAGACCTATATATGTCAAGTGATATTGACCGAAGACACAGAAAGTGATAGCAACCGAGCTTGCGAGTTTGCTATCATTTTTAGCTCACCTGAGCTGAAAGCTCAAGTGAGCTTTTCTGATCACATTTTGTCTGTAGTCCGTCTGCTAGCTGTCCGTCTAGCTGTCCGTCCGTCTGTAAACTTTTCACATTTTCGACTTCTTCTCCAGAACCACTGGGCCAATTTCAACCAAGCTTGCCACAAAGCATCCTTGGGTAAAGGGGGTTCAAGTTTGTTCAAATGAAGGGCCAAGCTCTCTTCCAAGGGGAGATAATTAAGAATTGGTGAAAATTTGGTGTCATCTTTTAAAAATTTTCTTCTCAAGAACCATTGGGCCAGAAAAATTGAAAGTTATGTGAAACCTTCATTAAATGGTGTAGATTCAATTTTGTTCAAATCATGACCCCCGGGTGTGAGGTGAGGCCAGAATGGGGGATCAGAGTTTTGCATAGAAAAATATAGGAAAAATCTTTAAAACTCTTCTTCTCAAGAACAACAAAGCTACAATTAGTTATATTGATATAGAATCATCCTCAGGTAGTGTAGATTCAAGTTGGTTCAAATCATGACCCCCGGGGGTAGGATATGGGGCCATAATGGGGGATCAAAGTTTTACATAGGAATAAATAGGAAAAATCTTTAAAAATCTTCTTCTCAAGAACAACAAAGCCACAATTAGTCATATTGATATGGAATCAACCTCAGGTAGTGTAGATTCAAGTTTATTCATATCATGACCACCGGGGTTAGGGTGGGACCAGAATGGACTATCAAAGTTTTACATAGGAATATATAGGAAAAATCTTTAAAAATCTTCTTCTCAAGAACAACAAAGCCAACAATTAGTCATATTGATATGGAATCAACCTCAGGTAGTGTAGATTCAAGTTTGTCCAAATCATGACCTCCGGGGGTAGGATATGGGGCCACAATGGGGGATCAAAGTTTTTACATAGGAAAAAACTTTAAAAATCTTTTCAAGAACAGGAAAGGCGTGATTCGTCATATTGATATGGAAGCATCCCCAGGTATTGTAGATTAAAGTTTGTTCAAGGCATCTTACAGTAGTAGGGTGGGGCCATAATGGGGGACGAAAGTTTTACAAAAGAACATATATATAGGAAATATCTTTAAAAATCTTCTTCTCAAGAACAACAAAGCCATGATGAGTCATATTGATATGGAAGCATCCTCAGGTAGTGTAGATTCAAGTTTGTTCAAATCATGACAGGCGATCAAAGCTTTACATATGAATATATAGGAGAAGAAATCTGCTGATAAAGAACAACAGGACCATATTGACTCAGATGAGCGTTGTGGCCCATGGGCCTCTTGTTTGTGTCTGAGGTCAATATCACCTGACATGGGTCCTTATAACCACATATTGACCGTTCACTGAAGTCCATAATAGTTATAGCGAGCGCAGCGAGCGGCGCTTAGCTCTAACGACAACGCCTGGGCGAAGAGTAAAATTCGGACATGCACATTGATCCATATGATTTCTTTTCCGCAGTAACTTTTGGACCTACAATGCTTGTTAAGCTACGTTCTCGCGAGAATAACAACAAAAGTTAAACAAAAATAAACTTGCCTTGATTTAGTTCAAATGAATATATTGCTTATAAATAGTAAATAAATCGTTCTTCATTAAAATTAGCACTGTTCAGGCTTCGGTTTGGTAATTAAGAAATAAGATATCATTTTTAGAGTTTCATTGGAGTATGATATGAAGTCGGTCACGTGATCAAATCCTAGTAGACTTGATCACGTAACGACTTCATGTCATAACCCAATGAAATTCTAAAAAATGATATTTTATTTCTTATATTTATATTTTACTTTTTTATTCGTGTTACAAAGAAATATAGGTACTATTTAGACTTTGCTCATGTGACGTCACAATCGGAACTTTCCAAATGACTCGTGCAGTTTGCTTTCCAAATGCAGAAAAGTCTGATCATGTGACCAACTTCATGTCATTGAAAAATTGAAATTAGTATTGTTATATAAGGAAAGACATTGGCAAATGTAAATATTGGAACAAACATACGACGTCATGTGACATCAGAGTCTAGACGCACCGAATGTCACGCGCGGTTTGAAGAGTAGGTCTAAATACAGTTTATAAACAATGCACTGAAAAGGTATCTGCGCTCGCCGTCAACGTATTATAATCACTTAAAATGAATAATATGTCACAGTCCTAACTGAACAGACTTAGCTGTCATTACGTCACAATGGTAAAGACAAGCTTCTTATGTATGATGACGTCACGTTCTACATAACTTTGGTGGAGACGAACGGTGAGTCATGCGATATCATATTCCGCGGGCACGCTTTCGCGTCAATATAAAAAAAGGACGAATATCATGTGAAGTCTTTTCAGCCACTGAAAATTACAAAAATAATCATCTTATATAATTTTATTATCACCTACATGTGTATTTTGAATACGTGATATCAACCACACCCACTGGAGATATCACCTTTCAGAATTATTAAGTTATTAAATCAAACTATTTCATGGGAGAAAAATGCAAAGAATTTTTTATTCAGTCTTTCTTTTTACAAATAAAATACGAACGACGATATATTTTGAAAATATCCCTTTCCAATTAACCGATCTCATTCTGTCCACGCTTGTGGTTATTAAGGTAGTATGTGATACCTCTATGTTATGACGTATTTCCATTTGAAGTATTGTTTTGATTTGGTTGAGTGCTTTTCATCGGGTCAAAATTTGTAGATACTCCTTTTAAAAAAAAACTATCTGAAGCTATTTCAATGCAAGTTTTCACAAGTTGGCATTTTATTTAAAATAGACAAGAATCTGTAACTATTAATATTTGTACTGTGGACGTTTATAAAAGCAAATTCCTAAAAAGATAGTTTAAACATCGCTGTTTTTGAACACTTTTAAGCAAATACATGTATTTCCATTGTTTGAGTAACAGTACAGCAGCTGGTGTGCGGTGAGGCATGAATAAGTATGATTACTTCACATTGAATTAATAATTACCAATCAATTATCATGTTAACCTGAACTGGTCTTCCTTCTTATTTCATTCAAAAAGTAACTGTATGGTCACATAATTATACTGATTTAGCCCCAAAACTTTTAGAACGTTGATTGTAATTGCTCTGAATGAGACGAATCTTACAAAGCGATTGTTCATGTATTGTTTTCAGAACTATTGGTAAATTGATAAGGTTGTTAAAACGTCATAAGTTTTGATACTATTGAATTTGAGAACAAAATATGATTCCATATTTTGTAAAAACAAGTTATTTTGAGTGATTGATCATCCACGTTTGATGCATCTTCGCTAGCCAAGTGTCCGATTCGTTTACCCACTTGGCTGGCGAAGATGCATTTGATGTGACACACTTTCTTAAATATATAGCACAATATGTCTGAAGTTTTACAGCAGTTCATATTTTTATAAAAAGATAGACTTGTGTGATATTACCAATTCAAAAAGGTGATGTCATCTTTTCTTATCATTGTTCAAGTTACTGGCAACACTCAATCTAAATCGATGAAAACAGCAGTGAAAAATTAATAGGTGATATCATTATTCTCAATGGTCATTTGAAAATACCACTTAATCGAAATGATTGTATCACCTTAAATTTCAAAATGAGTATTTATCCTTGTGATCATTAAAATGAATTCCCAAGTGAGAAAAGGCCCCGATTCATTATTATATAAGAGATGTACCAGGTTTGTATATTACCAATTTCGGACTTGGAAACAGATATACTCAGTACATAATAACTTTTTGATTTGTTATGCTTTTGTCAAGTCAAGTCTTTATGACAGAGAACTTTTTCTTCAATAAAAACGGAACTCGAAAATTTCCAGAGCTTGTGAATGGTCGTCTACAAAATTTCTTAAATAAAAAGCATTATGATATACACACAAGTAATCTTAATATTCAAAAGATGCTTGAGTTCTTCATTAATAATATTTATGTAGTTATTAGAGATCAGGTCTTCAAACCATCTGTTGGAATTGAAATTGAGCTCCTTTATTAGCAGACCTATATTTATGTTCTTATGAAACAGATTTTTTTCACAAACTTCTACACAAGAAGAAAACTCTTATAGTGGCATTCGATTCGACATTTAGATATATCGACGATATTTTATTAATTAAGAATATTCTTTTTCATCTATATGTCAACTCGATATATCCTAGTGAACTCGAAAGTAAAGTCAAAACAAAGTCTGCAATATTTGTTTAATATTTGAATGTTTTATACTGACTATAGACGTTCAAGGGAAACTAGTAACATGACTATATGACAAACGGAATGACTTCAGCTTTTCCATCGTCAACTTCTCCCATTTTATGTAGAAATATTTCACGATCACCTATATATGATTTACATCTCCCAAATGATTTGGATAACAAGAGCTTGTTAATTCTTAGTACGATAAATTTTGAAACTGATGCAGGCTACTGACAAATAATATGATTTTACAGGGCTTTCAATCATCTCGTTTAAATTCCGTATTTCTCAAATTCTATGGCCGTTATAATGACCATGTTTGCAAATACAACCTATCATATTTTGACTTAAAAAAAGGAAAACATCTACTGTCCATTATACATACAAAAGGAGGGAACACTTTTTTAATCGTGTAATTTAACGTACTATTCTTTATTTTCTAGATATGCATGGAGGATGATAAATGCTGTTTTAATACAACGATGTCACGATGTGCCTATGTCATCATTGTAATGGCTATCCTATGGATAACAGAGGCGCTCCCAATCGCCGCCACAGCCCTGATGCCGATCTTTCTTCTCCCCATGTTAGGAGTACAAAATGGAAGAGACGTCTCCAAAAATTATGTCAATGCAAGTTTAAAATGTTCTTTCTGCATTTCAATATACATGTATGACTGAAACTTGTGATATACACCTAACCTTGTTAAATTAAAATATCTTAGCATTGACACTCTAATAAATATAGTAGTGTGTAATTAATTTTCTTATGTGCATTTCTATTATACGCATGAAGTTTGGAGTATTCATGACATTGATTTACAATGAAATATGGAGATAACGAACAGTATTCAAACTCAAAGTCACCATTTTGGTTTGCTTTTTGTACTCTGCTTTACAAACTTGATAAATTAAACAGCCATGCACAGGAAAACGTCTCGTCAGTTATTTGAATTTATAATGCCTGCGTAGGTCTTGACGGAACAAAACTTCTAAGATCTTAATCCTACCAGATTCGTATTTCATTATGAATTTCATTAAATGCTTTTTTTTAAAAAGTTTTTACTTACTGAAATTAATTAATTTATATTACAAACATTAATAAAATAGGTATCTATATCATAAATAGTATTATTCTTATGTCAATAATTAAAGAGATGAGTTTATAACATTTTATAAAGTCATCTCAGAGAAGTTGGGCTAACAATAATTCTTCTTGTCCCGTGTCAGGATACCAGCATGTTATTCCTGGGTGGACTATTTATAGCAGCAGCCATGGAGGATGTTAACCTTCATAGACGTATTGCTGTAGGTGTCATGCGCATTCTAGGCTCAAGAGTCAACACGTAAGTACTGGATGAAGGTTTCATTTCCCAGGGATGGGTGTAGTTAAATACGTATAATGTGTCTTCAACGCATTCCCTCTCCTGGACATACTGCAGGCTAATTGTAGGTATAAATATAATGAACTATAAGTTCTCTAGCAAAGTTATGAAATCCAGGGACCATATTATGGCTAATTAGTCATGTTTTGGACCTGAAATACTTAAATGCCATTGGCAACAATTTCGAAATTTCTAAATTTCGAGTGAATGTAGCTTCAATTAGCTGTCCACAAAAACTGTGATATTCATGACCTGGGTACTAGGTAGGGTTCAGACTAGTCTGGGTTATAAAGTTAGTTATATATCTGAGTTGCTATTTATAAGAGGGAAAAGGTAATCTTCTTTATTCCTATAAACCTAGAAGGAAACTGCTTGAATGTTTCAATGAGTCCTCTACCGAAATTCAGGCCAAATTGGGTAAGTTAATTGCGATATAACGGGTATCTTTTTTTTCATTCCTCCTGTAAATCAAGTATGCTACTGTTTTTATGATTATAATTAGAAATGTGGGTATTCTACAAAAATGTATGAAATATGGATATAACGAACAGTATTCAAACTCAAAGTCCATTTAAACAATATAAATCGGGAGCAGAGCAAACACAGCAAAATATCAGAGGCGGGATCAAGTGCCATGGATGAGAGAGCATCCTCTGCCAACCAGTCACACCCGCCGTGTGGTCCTTGTCATGATCGGGAAACGGAAAAATCCTTAGATAATTTAGTGTGTAGACAATGGTCTAACAATTAGCACAAAAAACGTCAGTCAGCATTTAATTTAATGATAGGCTGTATTTGCTGACAAGGTCATTGTATCGACCATAAAACATGCGAAATGATGACTTGTTATCCTTGTTTCATCAACTTGTTTGTCAATAGCTTGTCTCGTTTTAGAATTCGTTTATATGTAGAGCATGTTTTTGCGTATCGATTCAACTGGGAGACAAAAACTCCATATGCAGGTGATAAGGGTTGATTGCTACATAGGTAAGGGAAGTTGCTTTTTCACAAAATAATTTTGCAAATGACAATGACTAGGTAAATATATTCATGAGTTCCATTTTTATTGAAAAAGCAGCTGTTTATGTTGTCAAAAAGCCTGGACTTTAATTTATCCTGGTGAATGGTACTATAAAGTGAAGAAAAGTCTTAAGTTTTGATGTTATTGATTTTGTTAAAATTTTGTGATAATTTATGTCCACTGATTTCAGGATGTGTCTAGATTTACCGCATTTGGAAAAGTACTAAATGTTTCAAATTGTACTTTCTGTATGTATTTGAATTTTTTTGCAAGCAAATTTCATTTGCATGATTATAAAGAGCAGTCAACCCTCTACTAGAAATAGAAAAATTATGACCCCAGATTGAGGTACAGGCTCCAGGATGAGTTTATCATATACTGGAATTCATTATATCTTTGAAAATATTTTTCCATGGATATTTAGCGATCAAACTGATTGTGTGATTATATGGAGCAGTAGAACCTCTACCAACTTAAAGATTGAATGGCCTCTAAAAGTAGTGTTAGGAATAGAGTGGTGCTTAGGTTGACAATATTCAGAAAATGCAAAAATTTTTGTAGCTCTCCGAAGTCCCAAAAGGATATTTTGTTTTGGAGAAAAGGTTTTACACAGTAAATAGTGTTTCCTGATTTGAAGTTCGTATTAATTACTTTAGTGTTTGATGTTGGGACCAGTGTTCCCCTTTGTTGTTTGATTTCAGTTGTCTGTGTGGGACTGTTTAAATTGTTTATCAATTCCAGGTTAATGTTGGGTCTGATGCTCCCTACCTGGTTCCTGTCTATGTGGATCAGTAACACGGCGGCCACCTCCATGATGTTACCTATACTGATAGCCATCACGGAGCAGATGAGAAAACTGGACCAGACTGAACACGGTACTAACACTTAATTATGATAGCGTATATAACTGATAAAAAATTTACAGCTCGATATAGGCCATTGTTACATAGAGTATGTCAAGTGCTGGTTTCCATATTTCATGAAAAATCATGTGAAAAATGACAGAACTTCAACACATCACTAATGCATGATTACAACAAATTTCTCTAAATGTGCAAATTTACATAGTCCTGGATCTAACATGTGCTTACTGAGAACATATTAACAAAAACAAGCTTAAGGTGAAGAAAATGTAAAAGTGAAAAACTCATAAATTGTATTGAATAAGCATGTCCATGTTTAATGGTAAAAAACCTAAATTCTTCAACAGTTGACCCTAAGGACACTGATGAAAAGAACGGAGTGGTCAAGGTGGAGGGGGTCACTCTAGAGATGGAAGAAAAAACTGACGTCAGGTTTGTGCAGAAATATCGAGAAAATAATGGTATGATTAACGTTCAAGATGCTTTGGAATTACTGTTGATTTTCATGCATGATTAGATTATTTTGTTACTTGCATATCAGAGTCTATTAAACAGTAAAATTCATGATTTTTGGGTCCAGCGTTCAGGTTCCAGTATGGGGCTAAGTTGGTCATATTTTGAAAATACATACCATGTTTGAAAATCTTTTTCTTTACTCGAGGATATTTAGTATGCGAGGAAATTCCTTGATCACATTGAGTACTTAATAAAGGGTTATAACCCTTTACCAAAATAATGTCCCCTTGGTCCAACGTTTAGAAGACAAGCTGCATGAATTTGATAGTGACTACAGGGTCCTCACCAAACTTTCACTGTTTTATTTTTAAATGTTTTGACAGTGGTTTGTTACCGGTTTATATCTGGCAAAAAAATTCAAATAAACTTCGGTCTTCCTTATTATTTCAGATGTAATTTAACATCAAATTTGAAACTATCATACCCCAAATGTTGTTAATAAAGGCGACATCAAGGACTTATCTTTATGGCCTTTATTGTAGACAGCAAAATGACGATTTGAAATGGATGTCTAAAGGTTTCGCTCTCTGTGTGGCTTACGGGGCAAACATTGGAGGAATAGCGACCCTAACTGGAACACCACCCAACTTAGTGCTACAGGGGCAGGCAGACATGTCAGTAGCTCCATTTTAATCTAGACTTATGATGTAACATATATTATTCTTGTAAACATTAGGAGTTACTGACTTAATCATTAAGGTTTCTAGATTTATGGAATTTAAAAAAAAAATGAAAAGACTTTTGAGAATGATCACTGCTCGTTATCATCACGAGTAAAAATTAAGAAATCTAGAAAATTAATACGGTAAACCTTCTGAAAGAGAATCTGTTTTATTTTTGCTCATATTTAAATTGTTTATAGATTTTTAAATCCAACTAAAAATGGCAAAGAATATATAACTTATTGAAAAAGATATATGTTGACGAATTAGAAATACATATCATTACAATTGATGAATCGTGCAAACACAAAGCAATCTCTATTGTACATATAATTAATGATTTTCAGTTTTTATGCTAAATATGGTGAGACAGGCTCCGGAATAACCTATGTGAACTGGATGGGACTAGCCCTGCCTATGTCTGTATTACTACTACTCCTGGCCTGGTTGTACCTACAAATTGTATTTCTCCGCGGAAAGTTAGTATTCATTTCAAAAGAAAATGTTTATTTATTATATTGACAATAATGAACTGTTAGAGAAAAAAAGTATTTCTAAAGGTAAGATTCTTTTGATTGTTTTCAAGATGCTGTAAAACAACAGAAAAAATCAGAAAGAAAGCGATCCAATCGGCTGTACTGAAAGAATGGAAAGATCTCGGCAAAATGACGTAAGGAATGAATTTTCAAAACGATAAAAACAATCAATGTTTATTGGCGGAATCAATGAAAACAATCTCAATCTATGTCACGTTGAATAACTGTACGATATTTGAAAAGTTTTGACTTTCAGATTCGCAGAGATTGAGGTCTTTGTCCTCTTTTGTATTTTGGCGTTGCTATGGGTATTTCGGAGTTTACCGGATGTAGGTGGATGGGGAGACCTATTTACTGATGTCAAGACAGGGTAAATTTACAAATGTTTCATGTAACATCTAAAATACAAGAAAAAAAATGACATTTGTAGGTCCCAATGTTTTGTTTCTAGTTACCCATAGTAAACTGTCAACGACCTTCCCTGACTTTGGATACTAGATAAAGTAAAAGACCATAGAAGCGGTCCGTTTATTGTATGCTGTGTAGATACAAGATTTACAAGCCAATCGTTTTGATAAACAGGAACTTTTTTTGCAGGAAAACATCTACAGCACGTGATTCCACAGCGTCCATCTTAGTTGCATGCCTTCTGTTCATTCTTCCAAGAGAAATTCCAAACGTTTTCTGTTGTTTCAAAAAGTCTGGTTTGGATGCTTTTATTTCAGATTATTTCAAACTCAGTGCCATTTTTTTGTTCTGAGGAAATATGTATAGTCAAACGTGATAATTTGTTAAGGTACCCTTTTGGCTATTTTTTTTCTTTTCGAAAGAACAGTTTTCCTCAATTGATGTGCATTACTGACTTTTGAATTCATACTCCTCTACCATACTCCTCTACCGCTTTCTTTCAGAAACTACAATAAGTGTACTTTGGAAAGACACCATCTGATCTCTTTCTTTGGAATATGTAGAATATGTAGATTATTCTCACATAAACATTACCATAAAATATAAAAAAAAAATGGAAAGGGGTTAAAACATATTGTATTAACGGAGTTTTGAAGATATTTATAAATTCCAGTAGTTTTATGATGATGCAGGTCTTTATTATGTTAGTGAACATATTCAAAATTAAATTTTCTTTTCTTTCTTTAAATGACAAAATTTATTTAAATTTCAGGAGAATAATTGTGAAGTCATCTTATTAAATCTTGTTTATAAGGAATAATTTCATAATGCTGTAAATCATCAAAATTTCGTGACACGTTATTTTCCCGAGATAAATATATTGTATTTAAAAGAGAGACAATTTTTTTTTTGAATTTCTGATTATTAATCTATAAAATCTCTAGTAATGCTATTATACGCGAGAACTTAAATTTCGTGAGCAGACGGCTTTACGCGTAAATAAAATTATCGCAAATAAAAAGCGATTTACAGTAATGTTGCTTACATTTCTTGAAAGAAAATTGGCTTATTATGAAGACAACTGCTCCAACCTGAGGCACTAAGTTCACTTTTACGTTCCACTTTCATACTTCGTCGTACATTGATGTCGCAAAAAATTGAGCATACTCTTTTTCTTCAATGAAACGACGAATATGATTTTTTCCAACTAAATTCGATATTTAATATGTTATAGAAATTTATGATGCATGTGAAAATCCTGGTTACGTTAGGGCCCTTATAGTCGTGTCTTAAGCTAAAAAACTAATATCTGAAAACATTCAACTTTGCATCTTGCAAACATAGTGGGAGATACATGTAGCAATAAGTAAGGATTAATATCTTGGAAATAATTTAGCTAACTGCATGATTATAAAGAGTAAGGAGCCCGTTACATTCCGCTGAAGTATCCTAGGGTTATTTCATCATTAAAGATATACCCGGTAATATATCTAACCTATACAGGATTTATGGTTTTTGTAATGCCTGGGTTATGGTTAAGCCACGAAAGGGATGCTGAGTTATTTTAAGTGTAACTTGAGATACTTAAATGCAACACAAAGAAAGCTTATGCTTATAAATTTAAAGTTTTCTAGGGAAAAGTTAAAATAATGTTACCTTCAAGCCCTTTATGGTCTCTTTGTAAGCTTTAATAACTGTGTCCTCTGACTTTTCAGAAACAAACCAAAAGCCAGGATACAGGCCGATTTTGACCTGGGACACTGCTCAAAGTAAGGTGTCTTGGGGCGTGATTTTCCTTCTGGGTGGAGGGTTTGCTCTTGCCAATGCAGCATCGGTATGTTTTGGTGAACTTTACTAAGTTTCCTCACAACTTTGAGAGTAAAGTTTTCATTTGGTAGCATAAATATTACAAGAGCACTGTAGTATCATTATACGAGGTTAATTTGAACATAATCATAGCAAAAGAAATTCTTGTCTAATTCACAGTTTGTAAAAGAGAATTACAGTAAAACATGCTTATAGCGAACATGCTTATCATAAATTGATGCTTAAAGCGAATTGATTTTTATTCTCCATCCATGACCTTAAAATGTATTGTAAGCTTAATGGATATAAAGAATTACACTTATAACGAAGCAAAATCGTCCGACCCTGGCACTTAAAAGAGTGTTTAGTGTATAGTTTTAGTTATGAGTGTTTTAGTGTATAAGAAACTCAAATTTAACATATATATATATATATATATATATATATATATATATATATATATATATATATATATATATATATATATATATATATATATATATACATGTATATATATATATATATATATATATATATATATATATATATATATATATATATAGGTAGCTTATGATCAGAGGTTATGTCATTGTTATGAGCTAAATTCACTTTAATAACAGGGTCTGGAAGTGTAAAATTTGTGCCTGATCTATAATTTTGCAAAAGAAAAACAATAGAATATCATACTTTACACAGTGGTCGTATATGACCACTGACTGTGTCATGGTCATTTGAACGTTTTTTTTTTTTTTGGGGGGGGGTGTCTTTTTTTACTCAAAAGTTGTCTATAAAGAATGATATATACATTGTATGTGTGAAAAATGTAAATCATGGTTTGTGAAAGAGAACAAAAAATAAGGTTATATGGACATTCTTCATACACATTTGCATCATGGTTCCGTATCAAACATTCTAATCAGCGCTTTCATCATAAACTTTGATAAGAAATGATGTTCTTGTCCCAGGATTGTATATATCTGCTTCACAGAACACAGATTATTATATGTATGATTGAAGACCTCAAAAATTACAGTTTTTGTAATGATAATACAAAGTCATTTGTCTAATACTATAAACCAACTTTATAAACAACTTACACAGTTTGAAATCAATCTACGTCTAATTTTCGCGACCGAGAAAACATTCAAATTACACAAAGAAATAGTATGTGGCAAGAAATAGTTGCCAGTAAAAGAAGGTCGTGGATATTTCTCGCACACTAATTTAAAGTAAGTTAATTGGACAAAAAGACTTATGCGGGAATCAAATATTTATTTTGAAAAAGCTTAAATATCAAGTCTTCGATTGACATTCTAATGTTCACAGAAACTCCATACTCAATATCATCATCTATAGAGGGTCATTTGTAAAATGGAGCAAGTACACAATATGGTAGGTAAAGGTAATGTTAATATTTGTAATTGTATATTTTCATAGACAACCGGCCTAACGTCTTATATTGGATGCGAATTGAAGGTGTTTGAGAACTTAGATCGCTGGGTTATGAACCTGTTAGTGTGTCTGTTGGTGTCGGCAGTTACAGAAATCACGAGTAACACTGCCATAGCATCTATCATCATGCCAATTATATTTGAGCTGGTAATAATTGAAGATTTATTTTCCTGTTTATACTAGTGTATTCTTTATCATTCTAATATATTCATAAAGAGATTTATATAATCGTGTTTTCTGTGCTTTTGTAGGCAATCTCTGTTGGACTTCATCCCCTTTATTTGATGATATCCTCTACCATCGCTTGTTCATTTGCCTTCTGTCTTCCGGTAGCCACGCCCCCAAACGCTATAGTTTTTTCCTCTGGATTCATCAAAATACCAGAAATGGTATCTTTATCATCCTTTGACAACTAAATTGCAGGGAAATTACTAAATTGATCGTGCGTTTGTGTGTCCGTAACAATGATATTGATTCTGAATGTTAGGTAGATGGTCTGATTTAAGGATAAATAGAAGGAAAAAAAAATAATTTCAGTCATAAAGATCGGTCGGTTAAACATACTCAAAAGTTTAAAAATTACTGTGAAGGTGGTATGGGATACCAAACGAAACTTCTCCCACATATTTATCTACCCAAATTAGGAGGATTTGAAATACTCCCACTTTTCAGTATGTTAAATTGTAATTTTAATAATTTTAAAATTATTTTAATGAGAAATACAAAAATGAATTATTTATTTTTTTCTTTTTTTCCGAAAGCTTAAAATTAAAGGCAAGAGTTTACTAATATAAAGTGTTTATAAAAACAGAAACGACCACTCTTAGTATTTTCAAAAAAAAAATGTCAACAAAAACTAAGCGTAAAAACTTGAAAACAGACGGATAACATTCCAAGAAAGTCTATAATTTGAATGTGTAAAAATATGTTAGCAAAGTGAAATAATCAAAATGTTAATCTTTATGTTAATGAAAATATCGTATGCATTTAAATTTTTTTTTAATTAAAAGATCGAATGATAGAGTTATCCTTCTTATTTTCCAAGGGTTGAAAAAAAATCTGGGTGCTATTTTAGAAATGATGAGCATTTTTTCCCAAACTTAAAAAAATCGCACCATTTTTCAGTGGTAGTTTTCATCTTTGCACTGTTATGGAAACAATGCATAGACAATCGCTTTCCAAAACGTGTCTCATTCAGAGCAATTGCATTCATCTAAAAGTTTTGGTACTATATACAACAACTAGTTGATTTGTGATCAAAAAGTTACTTCTTTAATGAAATGCCAAAGACAACCGGCTCTGGTTAACATGGTAATTGATTTGTACTTAATCAGCACAATGTGAAGTAATCACATCTTATCCATGCCTCACCGCACACAAGGTGCTGAACATTAACTCAAACAATTGAAATACAGCTTTTTCTTAAAAGTGCTCAAAAGTAGCAATGTTTAAACTATCTTTTACAGTTTATGATTTTAAATGTCCGCAGTAAAATTTTAAATTAATTTATATACTTGCGATTTTTTTCCCCTTTTTAACTAAAATGCTGACTTGGGAGAACTTGCATTGAAATAATTTCAGAGCGTTCTTTTAAACGGCGTATCTACAAATTTTGACCCGATAATAAGCACTCATGCAAATCAAAAAACAATACTTCAAATGGAAATACGTCATAACTGGAGGTATCCCATACTACCTTAAAAGAAAATGGAGAAACACAATTTGAATCCTTTTAATTTAATATACATCTAACAGGGTACTTTCGTTTATGAAATGCAGAGAGTTGTAATAATTGTAGTGTTATGGAACCTGCTTATTTAAATCAAATGAACATACTGTAGATACATTCCAAGCAATGCTCCCAGCTTAACTAATTCTGAAAGATGAAGGTCAAATCGAGTAATACATTATGAATTTTTAAAATTCACCATCACATTATTGTGAGTATAGATTGACTTTTCGAGGTCAAGGATAAGAAATTCTAAAGCATTTTTTGATATATTTGTTAATACGCAGTCTGGTCCATTTAAAAAAAAAAACAACATGTAATGTAGGTAAAATAATACTTAAGTTTTCTATGAAATCACATTTTTATTATCAAAAGAGAATTCAATTGAAAGACTAATCACCTTTATTTCATTTTTTTCAAAATCTTAATTGTTTCAGTTCCTGACTGGTTTATTTATGAACATTATCGCCATTTTGACTGTCACTCTCGCGATCAACACCTGGGGTTCAGCAATATACAACTTAGATACCATGCCAGCTATCTTTGCAGCTAAAAATGTCAACAGCTCTAGTGGAAATCTTTCTACAACATCACTTCCATTCAGTACAACAGTAATGTGCACAACTAGTGTGGACTCCCTGACTACTACGTAGAGATTTACCTGGATCCACGCTATGTATCTCCGACTTTAATAAGGCTTCATTCCGTTTTATTTCGTTTCCTAGAGTTATTGGTTCTCCAGAACTTGTTATCCCTAAAGCATTGTTTTAATTGGTTAAATAACTATCTTTTAACTTAGTTTTCGGGAATTCACCTGGATATCGCCTATATGAAATATTATACATGTATCATAATTTGTTTGAACAATGTCTATGTTTTATTATATCTATTTAGTAATACCATTTATAACTTTTATAACATGGATTTTACTTCATTTTTTATACTGGGACAAAATTTAATAACAATTTATACCTAAAAACCATTAATTTACTGTAATAGAACTCCTTATTGTCTGTTGATATTGAGATTGTATTAATAAACAGTGTATAGAAAATTTCAAGTGAGTGTTGTATTCTATAGTATTTGAAGCATAGTCTATACTTAGGCAATAATATTTATTTACTGTTATTTACGACTGGATTGTGACGAGTAGAATTAAGAATCTCAACTTTAACAATAGAAATTCTTCTAAACCTTTATTTATAAATGAAATATATGGAGATAACGAACAGTATTCAAGCTCAAAAGTCCATTAAACATTACAAAATAGGTGCAGAGCAAACACGGACCTCCAAAACATCAGAGGTGGGATCAGGTGCCATGGAGGAGTGAGCATCCCCAGCCGACCGGTCACACCTGCCGTGTGCTCCTTGTCATGATCGGGAAATAACGGAAAAATCCGTCGACAATTCAGTATGTAAATAATGGCCTAACAATTAGTATGAAAAACGTCAGTCAGCATTTGACTCAATGATAAATTGTATTTGCTGACAAGGTCATTGTATCGACCATAGAACTTACGAAATGATGACTTTAAACGAGACTGCTGAAATTCTTGTTTCATCGTTTCATCAACTTCTTTGTCAATAATTTACCTCGTTTTAAAAATTGTACATGCTTAGAACATGCTCTTGCGTATCGAATCAACTGAGAGATATAAACCCTGTATGCAGGTGATGAAGGTATATTGCTGCATAAGTAAGGGAAGTTGACGATTGAAAAGTTAAAGTCATCACGTTTATCATAAAGCTTGGTTGTTAGATTACCATTAACGTCTTTTTCAAGTAAAATATCCAAATATGAAACAGATGTTTCAGACTCTGTAGTATCTTTTATCTCAAGCTCACCGGGATATATCGTATCGACATAAGAATGGAAATAACCATTGCTAATTGACAATACGTCGTTGATATATCTAAATGTCGAGTTGAAGGCCACAGCAAGTGTTTTCCTCTTATCACGTATAAGATTCTGCTTCATATGAATACAAAAAAGGTCTGCTAATAACGGGGCGCAATTGGTACCCATGGGAATTTGATTTATTATAGTTTACACCGTTTAATATCTTCTCTTGTACAAAAACAGTAAATCGATTAATAAGTAACTAAAAACTGTAAATTACACTTCCAAAGCTAAAGTTTAATAGGGTTAGTGTGAATATACATGTATTTACCTCGGACAATAGTTACTGTAACAATTAACAAGTATCAATTAATGCAGATCTACTTATCTTTTTTTTCTGAATGATTTTTTTTTTTGTCTTTTTTTTTTTGTTTTTTGTTACACTGTGTCATGGCCTGATATGAATGATTACGAGTATCTGCACTTGGCGTTATGAACATTTCTCTTCAAAGGTTAAAAATTCCTATAGCTATACTATATTTATAAATATTTTTATAGTATGGAATTACCTGTGCTACATACATAGAATAATCATAATAAAATGTGTCGAAGACTTTCTATTCATTTGCAGCAAGACTGTCACTTTGATTTTAATGCGAGTTCTGAGAAAATATCTGATTAAATAAACAGTGAAGTCGTCACCAGTGCGACTTATAATATTTATTTTGAAAAAACTATTGTTTAAAAAAAAATTAATAGTTTTGGTACATTCTTATCATGATAAAGCAAAAGAAAAGAGCAATGATCGATCTCAAAAAACCTACAAACAATATCAATATGTGAATAGGGCATAAAACACGGACCCCCGAAATTTCCATACATGGGATCAGGTGCCTAGAAGGAGTAAGCATTCCCTTTTGACTGGTCACACATGCCGTTAGCCCTATGCGTTGTTCAGGTAGACGGAATATTCCGCAGTCATATTTAATATACAAAAAAGGCCTAGCAATTTAAATGAGGTTGTTGAAATCCCTGTAACTTCAACTTATTGTCAGTAGCTTGCCTCGGTTTAAAAATTGATCGTATATCCGCTCTTGATGCTCCTGAGTATCGAATAAGTTGGGAGACATAAACACCATATGCCTTCGATAGCGGATTATTACTGCATAAAAAATATAGAGTTAACGAACAGTATTCAAGCTCGAAGTCCATTAAAACAATAGCAAAGCAAACACGGACCTCCAAAAACATCAGAGGTGGGATCACGTGCCATGGAAGAGAGAGCATCCCCTGCCGAGCTGTCACATCCGTCATGATTGTAAAAAAAACAAAGGGAAAAATCCGAAGACATTTCAGTGTGTAAATTATGGCCTAACAATTAGTATGATAAATGTCAGTCAGCATTTGACTTAATGATAGGTTGTATTTGCTGACAAGGTCATTGTATCGACCATAAAACTTGCCAAATGATGACTTCAGACGAGACTGTTGATATCCCTGTTTCATCAACTTGTTTGTCAATAGCTTGTCTCATTTAAGAAATTGTTCATACGAAGAGCATGCTCTTGCGTATCGAATCAACTGGGAGATAAAAACCCCATATGCAGGTGATAAGGGTACATGTATATTGCTACATAAGTAAGGGAAGTTGACGATTGAAAAATTGAAGCCATCACGTTTGTCATTAAGCTTTGTTGTTAGGTTACCATTAATGTCTTTTTCTAGTAAAATATTCAAATATAAAACAGATGTGCCAGACTTCGTGGTATGCTTTATTTTAACCTCACTGGGATATATTAAGTCGACCTATGAATGGAAATAACTATTGTTAATTGATAATACGTCGTCGATATATCTAAATGTCAAGTTGACGGCCACAGCAAGCATTTTCTTCTCATGTAGAAGTTTTTTAATAAATTCTGCTTCATTTGAGCAGAAAAAAGTGTTCTGCTAATAAGGGGGCGCAATTGGTACCAACGGGAATTCCAACAGATTGTTGGAAACCTGATCTCCAAAAACTACATAAATATTGTTAATCAGAAACTCAAGCATCTTTTTAATATCAACTTCAGAGTACTTGTGTGTACAACCAGAATGTTTTTTGACAAAATAATTTTGCAAATGACCAATGACAAGATAAGTATATTTACGAGTTCCATTTTTATTGAAAAAGCAGCTGTCTCTGGTGTCAAAAAAACTTGGATTTTAATTTATCGTGGGGAATGGTTGTATAAAGTGTTGAAAAGTCGTACGTTTTGATGTTATTGATTTTGGTAAAATCTGTGATTTCAAATTTTCTAAAAGTTCCTTTGAGTTTTTAAGAATCCACACCAGATTTACAACACTTCTCAAATATACTGTTGTACAGTACTCCTGAAGTTTCTCCTTCACTGCTGTAAATATTCTAGTGAGGAGTAAAGAAAGGGGCTTGGAAGAACATTTACTGGAACCCGCTATGTATCTTTGTTTGTAAGGATTTTAATGAAGTTTTGGAATCCAGTATATGTATGGCAAGTTAAATTCATTTTTATTGTTAAGAACATAAAAATTATTTAAAACTGACATACCGATTCAAAGAATTTCCTCCTTATTAGAAAGGGAGCTATGGGTATAAGATGGATTGCCACTAGCAGAATTAAATCCCAGTTCTTCTAAAAATACAATTCAAATAGTGTGCCTTACAAACAGAGACAATGTTGTTACCTGCTTTGTCAGTGGGGACCAGTTCATACTGATCGTGTATTCTCTCTATTTCTTGTTTCACTTCTGCATTGTCGAAGATAGAAGGATAGTTTTCATATTGTATCTCAATCGCTTAATGGGGGATTTCAACATTTTCAACTTCCCTTACTTATGCAGCAATATACCTACATCACCTGCATACGGGGTATATATCTCACAGTTGATTCGATACGCAAGAGCATGTTCTACGTATGTACAATTTCTAAAACGAGGTAAATTATTGACAAACAAGTTGATGAAACAAGAATATCAGCTGTCTCGTTTAAAGTCATCATTTCGTAAGTTCTATGGTCGATACAATGACCTTGTCAGCAAATACAATTTATCATTGAGTCAAATGCTGACTGACGTTTTTCATACAAATTGTTAGGCTATTATTTACACATTGAATTGTCGACGGATTTTTCCGTTATGTCCCGATCATGACAAGGAGCACACGGCGGGTGTGACCGGTCGGCAGGGGATGCTCACTCCTCCATGGCACCTGATCCCACCTCTGATGTTTGGAGGTCCGTGTTTGCTCTGCTCCTATTTTGTATTGTTTGATGGACTTTTGAGCCTGAATACTGTTCGTTATCTTCATATATTTCATTTCATCCATTCTGACAAAGTGTCAAAGTCTTCTTTTTCATATTTGGCCCATCGTTTGGCGTAATCTTCTACTGAATTCATAATATATGTACTTATGAAATAAACGCCAGTTGAAAGATCGGGGTTCCCTAAACTTTGGCCCTCTTATAATAAGTGATTTAAGGTCCTCATTACTGTATATTCCTAAATACATGCAAGGAATTAATAATCACGTAATTACGGGAGAAGCACCACTCGCGAAATAAAATTACTCGCTTTTATTTTTATGGTACTGAAATCAATGTTAAATCCCTTGATCAACCGTCCACTCGCGAATTATTGTTCTCGCGATTTGACGTTGAAGAGCCATTTCGCGATAATAAGTACTCGCGAAAAATAAGGAATCTACAGTATTAACTATACTTACGTGCCCAGTAATGACGTGTCCAGCAGGACTATAGTTGTAGGATGAAGAAGAACAAACAAATAAATAAGAAAAAATGACGATGAAAAAGCTAAATCCCTTGATCAACCGTCCACTCGCGAATTATTGTTCTCGCGATTTGACGTTGAAGAGCCATTTCGCGATAATAAGTACTCGCGAAAAATAAGGAATCTACAGTATTAACTATACTTACGTGCCCAGTAATGACGTGTCCAGCAGGACTATAGTTGTAGGATGAAGAAGAACAAACAAATAAATAAGAAAAAATGACGATGAAAAAGCTAAAGTCATCTCGTTTGTCATATCATTTGTTCGTTGGCCTTTATCGTAAAACATTTAAATATGAAATAGATGTGGCAGTCTCTGTGGTGTCTTTAATTTCGAGTTCACTGGAATATATCGAGTCGATATATGAATGGAGGCAACTATTGTTAATTGATAAAAGGTCGTGGATATCATGTAGAAGTTTTCTAATTAAAAAAAATAAATCCTGCTTCACATGAATATAAAAATCTGGTTGGCTTACAAAGGAGCACTACATGTATTAGTGCCTATCGAAATTTTAACATATTGTTGGAAGACCTGATCTCCAAAGACTACAAACATTTCAAAAAGGAACTCCAGCATCCTTTGAATATCAACTTCAGAGTACTTGTGTGTAGAATCAGAGTGATTTTTACTAATTTTGTTGATGACCAATCAAAAAATATGTAAAAATTTCCGAGTTCCGTTTTAATGAAGAATCAGTTGTCGATGATATTTATGTCTGTAATATCTGTACAAGCTTATCTTTTAAAAAGATTGGTGAGCTAGCGCTGTAGCATAATAAAATACAGAAGAAGATATCTGAACCATTTGTTAAATTTGCTGAATCGATTAATATTATTAATAGGAAGGCAGATTGGTGCACTGGGGGTCGAGTTTAGGGGGGGTGTCACAATTCAGAATGGTGAATCTAAGAGTGTCCTTCACGTCGGCAATGGCATAACTCCTAACTGTGCTTTAAGCATTCTGTATTTTACTGTATTTTCAATTTCGAGGTGAAAAATAAAAGGTCAGTAGAACCAATGAGCACCTTCGGGCCTTTCCGGCAAGCTCGGAAAACATATCCGAGGTTGCCGCGGTTTTCCGAGCTTGCCGGAAAGATCCAGAAGGTAGATTAGAAAAGCTTTGTATTCATTACAACTTTAGAAATAACAGTCTTGGTTTTATAAGACCCGAGTTACTGTTACTTTTTTTTCATTTACGTGCAGGTTAGACAACAAAACACGAAACTTCAGATCATATGTATTTTCAGATGATAAACACTAAATTGACATGTCTTTCCGACATACTCTGAAAAAGATTTTTGTTGTTGTTTTTTCCGAGCTTGCCGGAATTATCCACTAAGGTGGTAAAACTGTAAGGAAAGCTAGATGTCTAGAACCTTGGCATTATATGGCCAAATTTTTTCTTGTACTTTTATGTGTAGGTTAGACAATAAATTTAAAAAAAAATTCAGAATCCGGATCTAGACTGGTATTGACTGTCTCTAACCTGCGAAATGTATATCGCGCATATCAGACAGGAAAGGCCAGTGTAAATTCGGATCATTTCTATTTTTGTATGACAAAACGAAATTGTTATCGTACAGTCTATCTACAGTAGTTTTCCCAGAATCCCCGACCGTGAAGTCGAGCATGCGTATTTCAGAAATATAGACTAACGTAGTTGCTAGCGCTCGAGAGCGCTAGCAAAAAGCTTAGTTTTTAATTTATATTGAGGAATTGCTGTTTAAAGTGTTGAAAAGTTATTTTGATATTGCCGACTTTTAAAAAATGTGATGTTTTGAGGTTACACATTTGATTTACACCACTTCTAGAATATGTAGAGTACGTCCGAAGTTTTTCCCTTTACAGCAGTTAATATTTTTGTGAGGAGTAAAGAAACGGGCTTGGAAGAGCATTTGTTGCACCCTGCAATATATCTTTGTTTGCAAGGATTTTATAAAAGTGTTCTTCTTTGACTGGAATGTTAAAAGTTTTAAAGACTAATATTTAATTTTGAAGAATTTCAGCCTTAGGAAGGGTATCTCCTTTTGCAGAGTATTAATCATTGTCATTATGAACAATTTATTTTTATCTTCATATACCTTACAACTCTTATTAAAGAAATTAGAGAAATCAATTTACATAAATGCAGTCCCAACAACCATTTTATAACAAATTACTTCTGATGGTTCCGTTAAAATAACTTGGACCGGACAAATATCACATCAAAGCACACACTTGTGCTCATCACACCTATTTTATGATTCCTTTAAATGCTGAGTTTGGTCACATTTTAAGAGATTAAACAATACAAATAACAGAGAAATGTGTGATCATTGATTTTGTAGTACTTATCTTTAAATGATTGTGTATTTTAACAGTGATTTTTTTTTAAAAAGCGTAAAAAAGATAAATAACGGAGAGTCTGTAAAAGGTAGCTCAAAGTTAACGAGACCGTTTCTTTTGTTACTTTTTCAATATATAAATAATGGCACCAGAACTTTTTAGTTGCAATCTTTTACAGAAGCAATTTGTATAATCATTTTTGTATTAGGCATTTTTTATGAAAATTGAATTCAATGTTCCCAGGATAGGACTGTGTATATACTGAAGTTTACAAATTGTTAGCATTTTAACACCCCAGTTCGCTACCCTTTAGATCTCAAACGTATAATGCACATGGATGATATTTACCTTCCTGAATAAAAGTAAATGTGCGTAATTATTCCATAACAGCAATTGAACAAATCATTCTTTGTCAAACAGTGATATTTAAACAACATTTGCTTTAAAGGGATACAAACAATAACATTGAATGGTTCATTGCTGAAAAAACATTGAAACATTAGCACTTTAAGAAAAATATTTACACATTCAATCTTAATGATAAATGCATTTACATATTAAATACATATATGGTTTATTAACTAATAATGACTAGTAAATAAATTTGTACTTTAATCACAAAGGAAATAAAAATAAAACAAAGAACTAAATGTTAACACTGGTATTTTAATGTAACTAAGAAACAACAAACATCCAAGGAGGTCCAGTAGCAATCTTTGTTGTCTTTCAACACATTTAGATATCATATAAACTTCAACACAAAAAAATCGAAAAGACGAAATCCATCGACTAGTTTACAATAACATCAACAGCTAGGAGATAGTCATTGTACAGAACTAATCAAGCAAACAAACAAAAAATGTAAATTGTGTTGAAAACTAAATTGCTTTCTAATAATTTTATTTGTTAAAATTAATTTAAATGAAAATGTCCGCTCTCTTACTTTGAGTATTTTTATATACTTGTCACCATAAAGAAATATTTGCGAATAAATCTCAAGTATATAAGACTCAAAATAAAGTAAACAATTTCATAACACTAAAAGTGGAATATACTGCACTGAAATTTAACAGTAAATACTCTATAATTCCTTCAATAAGTAGATACAATTGTGTGATTGATTGAGCAAACAAATCGCACCAAAAACTGGGTATCTCGGGTGCATAGAATTTGAAATGAACTATAGAACATGTGCCAATGAATTCTTCAGTAAGTATAAAATGTCATTTTTTAAAATAAAATTCAGTACATGTTTATCTACCATTTACGAAAATATTGCAAATATAAAATAATTTGCTATGTTTGTTGGGAGAAATCAATTTCAAAATAATTCCATTGATGTGTCAAATTGTAAATCTGTGAATATGAAATTTGAATTCATGAATAGACAGATTTATTTAAAGTTCAGTTGGCAGATGATGGTACAAGTCCTAGACGATTCATTGTTCGAAATTCTTCTTGTACTGAAAAAGGTTTTGATTGCCAGCAGGAATTTCTAGCATATCGAGCCGCCATCTTTTCAGCTACATTCATGCGTTTGTAGTGACGTAAATACCGGCAGTGACGTAAAGCATCCACGTTTGGGTCCATGTAGGATGGAAGTTTGGAAAATTGGTTTTGTCTCAGAAAGACCCTGTACACAAATTCGGACATGTTTGACGGTTTCTTTATCTCCTGCTCTTTGTTTTCTGTATTTGTGGTTACCGGGGTGGCCTCTGGTGGCTTCCTGGATTCTTTGAGAGGTTGGTTTTGCCGAGAATGATTCCCTCTTTCTTCTATTAAAAGTCAATGTTTATCATTAATGCAGGTGAAACTTATGAAAATACATATTGTAATGATAAACAAAGTATATTGATATAATAAAAATCAGTATCAAGTGAAGAAATATTATATATATATATATATATATATATATATATATATATATATATATATATATATATATATATATATATATATATATATATATATATATATATATATATATATATATTGCATGAACACCATAGGGCTTGCAAGAACATATAAAGTGGGGCAGGGCAACCCTTCAACATTTAAAAACCACAATGCCCAAATCTTTATGCAGTTAATATAAGTGATTAGTTCACTTGATTACATATGTACAGATTATTGATACAGTGAACACAATAGAGGCGGTTTCCACTAAGTGTTTAATTCAATTAAGCACATGCATTTATTTATAATCTTTTAATCATACTTGAATGAATTGAAGTTCAGATGTATCTTTTAAAAAATTTGATAACATTTATCATGCAGAAGACTTACTTTTTTTCAAATTCTTTGTCGACTCATCTCTAGTTTCCCGCGCTGTATATTCTGACTTAATTAGTCTCCTCTGAGATTTCATCTCCTGCTCCAAAGACTGCTCCATTTTCGTGTCCAAGAAAACAATAGGAGGACCTTCCTTTGATTCATTTATATTCTCCTGTAGTTTGGGAAATCTCTCTTGCTTAGCTTTGGCTCTCTTTCGATTCATATATTGAACACTCATTCTTTTTGACAAAGTTGTTGAACTTTGTACAGAATTGACAGATTGAGATGATACTCTGCCTTCTGTATTGTCACCGTTCTTGGGGTTTAATCCGATCACAGAGAGTTTCTCCATTTCTGAATCTTCCGCTCGGACCATTGGTATACTTCGTCCTGATAATTTTCCGGATGTCTCTAACAGGTGATTTCTAATATTTATCTTTCTTTGCCTTGTTTTTTCGGAATCCTCCTTCCGTGTTTCCTGCGGAGGTTTATGTAACTCTTCATTTCTTGGTTTAATGGAAGTATTTAGAAAATGTTCTACTTTATTTAACATATTGTTGGTATTCTGAAAAATGGCGGAGTATGTTCCTGCATTGATTTGATCAAGGGTTACTTTCAGTGAAGGCAGGTCGTTTAGTCTGTTCAATCTGGAGTTATTTTCATCCATTTTATAGCTTCCTCCACTGGATGATGATCTGGCACTTCTTGCTCTGTTTGGATTAGGGGTATTTTTCCCACCTCTCTCTGATTCTTTTATTTCACATTTCGAACAATCGTACATCTCTTTATACTTCATCGATGTCCCGACAAAAGCTCCAGCTCGGTCCTTTTTCTTCTTTTTTGGTGTGAGATCGGATGATAAATTTGGGAGCGTTACAATTATTGTGCGTTTTGCCGGAGTTGCCGGTTTGTCGTTTAGTGACTCCAGTTCTTTAATGGTAACTCCTCTTTCGTTCATGTCCAACATCTGATCATCTTTATCATCTTTGTAAGCATCATTATCTCTGTCGAGGTATTCTGCTGTGATGGCGTCCTCGAAAGAGGACCGAGAGGTCGGTCTGCTTAACTGTCCGACCATATCCTTGTTCTTGTCTAAGTTAACAGGAGAGAGTAATGTCTCATCAGTGTCTTCTTGGTCCAGGGAGTCTACATTCAGTGAAAGTTCCTTGTAATCTTCTTCATTTGTTATATTTATTTTCTCCTTGTTGAACACGGTGGAACTAATTTTTACTTTAATTTCGTTCCCATCAGACTTGTCCAATAGCACATACCTTCGTAACTTTTTCTCTTGGACATTTTCCCTGAACTTTTCAACGACCTTTCTGACTAGCAATTTAAGCCGCAGCTTTTGAGTTCGTGTACGTAAATCCTCCTGTGTGTTGGAGATTCGGTCTTTTGTTGTTTTTATTTTGTCTCTATTTACACGCACTAAAGTTTTATAAATGGCTTCCTGACTTTTCTTAATACTTGATACTTGAAGCATTTGCTCCTTTTGCATTTTGTCAATTTCCCTGTCCCTGTTTACTTTAGCAATGCGGCTGTTACGTATTCCATTATTGGTTGTTTCTGACTTCCGTAAATCTTTCAACATGTATATAAGTTCACCATTCATTGAGGAAATGCCTTTTCCGTTGTGGTTGCCCAGAGCGTATTTTCTAGACTCAGACATATTGCTGCTAAAATCAGCAACTACGAAATCTTATCATCCGTCGAGGATCCCAAACCCATTACTAAACACTTTTTATCTGGAAATGCTCAACAAGAATATCTTATACTGCTGCTTACATTAAGAAAATATTAAACCTCCTTCATACGCGTCTGTGCATCATAGAATACTGGACAATAAGTTCTTTATCTCGGCAGAACCGTCTTTATAATCCGCCGCTGTCTACGATTTCTATTGGATCACATATGACAGAAACCGAACATCAAACAAACGTCAAATCAATAATATAAAGCAGGTACCTTATTATTACTGTAAGTAAACAAACAATCGCGAACAAACAGTCGAATTCAGGCTATATTTACCTCAGTAGAAAGTATACATGATTTAATTACAAAGTGCATTGTCTCAGAGCTGGCGAAACCAAGGACAATACGGGTCTATCAGACCAGGGTAGATTTTGTTTAGACTGTCGTGTGAAAGTGTTTTGTGCCAATTAACACAGGTATATCAGGGATTGGAGAGATCAAGTGATTTGTAAATTTAATTATTGCTGCAAAAGTTCAGCCACTTAAAATCAATTAAAATTCCGCTTGTATTGTTACCTATCTGCTAATAGAAAACACTGAGACTAAGATTATAATCAATATGTCGGATAATGATATAGCTAAGACCAACACGTATACCTCTAATTCTCCTATATTGGAGATACAAGGCCTTCTGTAATCTTAGTCCAATTAACACGGAATAACTTCTTACACTTTCTATATAGAGACTATAAGATATATTCATTGTCTGTCGCTAGTGTTTTACTGATAAAAGTACACGTACACCGTTTTCTTACCATTACTTATGAATGTATGGTCAAAATTAAAGCGATGTCTCAAGACGTGGAATATATATGCATTAATATACTTAATACATAAATAAGTAGAAGACAAAAAATATCATATTTATTTAAGTATCATGATATAAATACGGGTTGATCATGAGATCAAGTTCCATAGGGTCTGAAGGGCTTTATGGTAGATTTGCTTACGTACCAACTCGTATTGATATCCTGATAAATGTTTTAATTGATACCTTAATCATAACTTAATATATTTTCATTTATGATTGATTTATAACAAGTATTTGCGTATTTTATAGTTTTAAATCCATGAAATGATTTATTTTTTCAAACCTCAACGGTATAAATTGAATATGTTGAACACGTCGGTCACTCATAACGTAAATTTGAAATTACGTCTATCGTTTATAACTAAACAACGAATCTGTGTTCATGTGACGAACCTGCTTTTAACAGGTCTATATACGCATTGTTCAAATAGTGTTTCATATAGGAAAACATTTGCAGATGTAAATATTTTAACACATGCTTGTATGCCATTGCATCCACATTATTTTTCAAATAAATAAAATGATAAACAGAAACTTTTTAATGTATGTTGATGAAAGAACATATATATTTCAATAAATTTGTTTCATTATTAAAAGTTAAAATCCACTTGTTACGTCACTCTTTTGTTTGTGCGCTCCATTATTTTTCTGGAAAGGAGAGTTGCAAATTACATTGAAAATGGTATTTGCTAAGTTTAAATTCTCCTTCCCGTGCCTCTTCCGAAGAAAGAACTTGGGAATTTCATTAACTAAAGTTTATTTTTCATATTAAGAAAAATCATATTGGTACCGCTGAAAATCGATCCCGGTACCCTCACCATGATAGTCAGAACTCATTTCACTACGCTATCAAAACTGTTGACAGACGACGGATTTAAGAGCCATTCTCTGTAACGACTTGAACTTTTATATAGAAGCTGTGGCACGCATAGTCTCAGAATTTCTCCAAACTCTCTATGATAAAAGTCTTTGATACCGTAGACTCAAATCAGGCAGAAATTGGTTGCTACGTGACATGGTCACCATGGCAACATGTCCTAAAGTTTGAAAAATGGCATTTTTCAACATGTCCAGAGTCCCACAGTTAACGTTTGCAGCAAAGCAAACAAGTGGTAATGATTGTTTCTGAAAGTTGAAGACCTGATGTTTTAAATGCATGATAAATATGTTTGGTAAATCAACTATTACATACGTTACTATGGAAACAAAGTATTCAAAAGTAATAATTTTGCTCATTTAATTTTATAACATCATACACTTAAGAATAAAAAAAAATTATAGGTTGAAATACAAGCAAATAATAGACAAAAGATCCTTGTAACATATACCATGGAGGAAATATGATATTTCTTATAGGTTGGCAATGGTTGCCATGGTTTTAATACCAAGAAGGGATTTTAAATTTACTCTCCTAGTGATTAAATCTAATCCTATCTTTTTAAAAAGCATATTTCTATATAACTAATGATCAGTTTTTAAAGATGTTCATGTGACCATAATTCTCACATTTCAAAAAATGCAAATTCAATTCTTTAAATAGAGCGTTGCTATGGAAATAAGCGAAAAAATATGCATAAAAATCTGAAAAATATTCTGTTTCCTTGGATACGTACCCTTGTATGTAGATTCCCAAAACTTTTATGATTGGTAATTATGAACAACTAACCTGACTTTCAATTTTGACTGCCACCCAATCTCTAACTGGATGCAAAAAGCTGACACATAGGGTTTAATATTGATATAAAATTAACAAAATCGAACATTTTCCCTTCTTGGTTACCATAGCAACAGTGTTGTATTTTTCAACAAACGTTATCAATATATGATATTCAACTTTAGTTTTACCAGAAAAGTACTATTCAAGGTGAGTCAAATAATATGTTTCTTGAATAAAAGGTAAGTAAATTCCTAAGGCAGCAAAAATATATCACTTTAAACAACTGGTACATTGTTTCCATGGTTACACTGCAAAGTAACAATTAATCCCATTTTTTTATGTTGTCGGTGTTGCGAGGTCCTAAGGATATATATGTGCCAGTCATGAAATTTATTGTTTTTCCTGAAGATAGTAGCATTAACCCAATCTTAGCAACACATTTTGGATGGTAACACAGTGTTACCATGGCAACCATGAAAGTTATTTTTAGAATAATATTGCCAATACCTAATTACTTAAAGTCAAATATTTTTATTGTTTTTTCTTAGGTTGTTGATTGAGTTTGATCATTTAACACCTATCATTAGTGAATATTGAGCGTTTTTCTGCATTTTTCAGCATCTAAAATGTATTCCAAATGTACCCATGGTTACCACTTACTTAGAGATAAATTCTAAATAGTTTCTTTATAGCATAAGTGGCAACAAGGTGTCAGGTTTTGGGGAGAATGGTTTGTTTATTATTCTTATTCTTTATTAAGGCTTAATAAAGATTCAAAGTAGCTGAAAATCTCAATTTTTTCAACTTTTCTGGCTGTTACCATGGCAACCAAGACACATAGCAACGAAATTTTATTTGATATATGTTTCTGGTGTCAAGTTGTAATAATGGGCAAAGTTTCATCAAAATCGGTGACCATGCGTGGCAAAGAAGTTTAAGTGGTTACAGAGAATCGCTATTAAATTGTACTTTATAACACTTTACTCGCCTTACCCTCTCTTTATATATATAAGTTCAATATATATTTATATTTACTGTGTATCTTTTATATATATATTTTTAATTACATATTAACTAATAATGATTACAAGCATTTAGAACAGTGGACTTTAAGCGGGTTAGTGTACTCATAGCGCTCCATTCCTTAAAAGCCTTCGGGGCCTCGGCTCTATTACTTTTAACAGGTTGGGGGGAAACGTTAATTCCGCTATAATAGTGGTATATCACTATTATAGTAAAATTCCGCTATATTTTCAGCCGTATTTACCCTCGCTTTCATCAAATAACATGTTGCTGTTTAAAGCGCAAGTCACGGTAGGTATAAAAATGGACACTAATTGGCACACTTACATGTTATGAATTTTATTAAATTTGCTGCATCGATGCGTTTAATAATGCGAACACACTTTTTAAAACGGAAGTTACATTTTTAACACAGCAACCAGTGATTTCGGTAGTATTCAAGAAAGACTGAATCTCAATTGAGAAATTGAGATTCAGTTTTTCTTGGTAAGATACATCATTCAACAAAAATTTTTAAAATATAGACAGATATGTTTTTGTCACAGCTCTAATGCTATATTTACACAAGGTGATGCCTCTTGGCTACACAAACAACTAAGCTGCTTGCCACTTGCTAACACTTGATACCAACACTTGCCTCTCGGGTATACAAACAACTTGATCAGCACTCACTACTTGGCTATACGACGTGGCTATTTGCCACTTGTCACAAACTGCTCTCTGTGATCACCTTGATACAAATATAAAACAAAAAATGTATAAAAACAACTTTGTACAGGCATTTACCAACTAGTATATGGTCTCCATAACTTTACCTGGCAGTAACTTATCAGTTGTTTATAAGGACAAGATAGTATATCCATCCTCTGTACAATTGGCTATTTTGCTATTTAAATAATCTTTATGTCAATCTTTTATATTGCTTTACAGGCAAGAATCCGACTTTGAGCATGATTTGCTCATTTAAACCATATATTTATTTTTATTTTGTTTCTATACCTTGCATTCTCAATCAAACAAATGACCTATTATAATTAAATCATATACAAGGATTTCTTAATACAATTTAGAAAAGGGGAGTAACTCTCATTTGCTTCACTTAATACAATTTTGAACTTTGTTTGCCTCCGAGATACCCATATTATATTTATATTTATACATTTACATTTACACTATTGCATTTAGTTTGTTTGCTTAATACTCAGGAGCAAAGAAGAAGATTTTCAAAGAAATAATGCATTTTCACTATATATAATCATTAAAACCCCTCACCCAGGGGCCATGAAATTCACAACCATGGAAGAAGTGCGCTTGCTCATCATAACTATGCATTTAGTTTGTCTGCTTAATACCCAGAAGCAGAAGAGAAGATTTTTAAAGAATTAATGCATTTTCAATATATAATCAACAGAGGCCCGTCCTAACA